GCAGCAGCAGCAGCAGCATTAGCAATACCACAAGCAGAAGCAGTAGTAGTTTTAGTAGTAGTAATAGTAGTAGTAGTAGTAGTAGTAGTAGTAGTAGTGGTGGTAGTAGTAGTAGTAGTAGCGGTGCTAGCAGTAGCAAGGCCACAACAAAGACGAAAGCAAAAAGTCCCCAACAGCAAAAAGCAGAGGGACATCCGAAACTAGAAACACAACTACCACACCACATGCGCGCTCTTGCAAGCCTCAACTTGTAGATTCTGTAGTATCCACGGCACCCGCCAGCACTTCGGCTGCTGGGAGCTTCAAGTCAGCAGAGAAGCGCAGACGCAATTTTCTCAAAACTGTCACACAAGGCACATCCTAAGCCCACCCCTGTGACTTCGTTTCTAAAGGCCAGAGCTTCCGGAGCTTCCTGGGCCTCCCGCGCTGCCAGTGTCGCTGGTGCTGGACAGGCTTCGTAGCTCGGAAGCTCCGGAGATCGCCAAAGCCTGCAGCAGAGCCCAGCTCACGTCGCCCTCCGACGCCACGTCCGACTTCGAGATAGTCTGTGCATCAGACTTGGAGAGCTCGTCCGTGCTGGCCAGGCAGACTGGCCGAAGATCCAAAGCCGTCTCGAACCACTCCTCCAACCTGCGTGTGTCGGCGACGCTGTCTGGCCCCAGCTGGAAAGGCAACAGGTTCTCCATGGACTCGGCACCCACTTGGGCGCTATCGTCTGCTTCTTCCGTCTTTGCTTCTGTCACCTCAGCCGCAACTCCACGTTCGTCCCAGCGGTCCGCTTCGTTATGCTTTCCCTGCTCATGGAGGATGAGTGTGAGATCTGAAATGCACCTCCGGGTCTTGGGATGGGCACGGCCAAACTGCTTCTCCATTCCGCCCGCCACACGGCAGAGAAGTGCCTCTGCTTGCTCCAGCAGGTTGTGCTCTGCCAGAAACTTTGCCAAATCAACACGGCAGTCCAGCAGATGCGGATGGTCCTGGTCGGCGTAACCTGCTGCCATTGATTCGAGGGCATGGTCAAAATGTCTCCGGGCTTCGTCCAGAGACTTTGCTGCGTCCTTAGCGTTCATTGGATCACGGAAGCGCTCTCCAAGCCGGCCACGAAGGGCCAAGACTCCGGCAAGCTTGCTGAAACACAACCACGTCCTTGGATGGTCTTTACCGAGTTTCAGCTGCATGCCCTGCAAGGCTTGGCGATGGAGATCTTCGGCCTTTTGCCACTTGCCTTGCTCTTGCAGACACTTGGCCAGGTTGTGGACACAGGACAATGTGTCTGGATGGTCCTCTCCAAGCTTTGCTCGCATGGCCCGCAAGGTCTCGCGAAGCAGCTCCTCTGCCTCTTCGAGCTTACCTCTGTCGTGCAGGGTTGAACCCAGGCCGTTGATGCTGCTGAGGGTGTCTGGATGGTCCTCTCCGAGCT